TCACCAAACTAAATGAATCAAATGAATCAATTATTTCAAACAAATCACTTGACACATTAAAAATAATAGAAGATTGTACCAGTTGTGTACAAAGATATAATTATTATTATTTATTTTATGGATCATTAAATGAACTAAAAAAGATTTCAGAAGCATTAGACAAGGAAGAAAATGAGGATAGGAAAGCAGAAATAATCCATAAATTAGGTGATGAATTAAACAAATTAGATGTTGAAATAAATAAAACAGTATTATGTTATGGGTGTTTAAAGAAGAATATATTTGATCCATTATATGAATTACTCACCAAACTAAATGAATCAAATGCATCCATTAATTCAAACAAATTACTTGACACATTAAAAACAATAGAAAATTGTACTGGTTGTAAAGAATATGCACAAAAAAATTATTTTGAATTATTTTATGAATCATTAAACAAACTAAAAAAGAAATTAGAAGAATTAGACAAGGAAGAAAATGAATATGGGGAAGCAGAAATGATCCATAAATTAAGTGATGAATTAAATGAACTAGATGTTGAAATAAATAGAATAGCATTATGTTATGGGTGTCAAGAGAAAAATATATTCAACCCATTATGTAAATTACTCACCAAACTAAATGAATCAAATGAACAAATTAATTCAAACAAATTACTTGACTCATTAAAAATAATAGAAGATTGTACCAGTTGTAAAGAATATGTACAAAAAAAACATTCTAATTTATTTTATAAATCATTAAACAAATTAAAAAAGATTTCAGAAGAATTAGGCAAGGAAGAAGATAGGAAAGCAGAAATAATCCATAAATTAGGTGATGAATTAAATAATATACATTACAAAATAGATGGAATGGTATTATGTGATAGTTGTCAAGCAAAAAAAATTGGAAATAAAAAAATAGCTATATTTCTTGATGAATGTAAACAAAAAGCAACCAATAGTAATTATATGAAATGGGTTCCATTCAATAAATTTAGAAACATTAAATATTTAGCTAAAGGTGGGTTTGGTGAAGTACAAAAAGCAATATGGACCACTGAAAATAGAAAGATTGTGTTAAAAAAGTTATATAATTCCCATGATCAAATTTTAGATATTTTAAAAGAGGTAAATATTGACCTATTATAAAATTATTATTATTAAATGTAAATATTAATATGAATATAATCATAATAATTTTTAGCTAAAAGCAAATATTGAATTTGGACGTTTTGTTAACAAATGTTATGGAATTACTAAAAATCCAAATGAGGATAACTATTTATTGATATTTGATTATGCCCCAAATGGAGATTTACATAATAATTTATCAAAAAATTTCAAAGAAATTACTTGGGAAGACAAAATTTATTCAATATATGGTATTTCAGAAGGGTAGGTTTTTTAAATTTATTAAATTTTATATAAATATGTAGTAAATAATTATAATATATTTTTTTTTTATAAATTAGATTAAAGAAAATTCATAAATGTAATTACATTCATCATGACTTGCACAGTGGTAATATTTTTTCATATTCTCTTAATGATAGCCGAATAGGAGATTTAGGATTATGTCAACAAGTAGTTAAAAAAGATAATCCAAATAAAATATATGGAGTCATTCCATATCTGGCACCTGAAATATTATCAAAAAAAACATATACAAAAGAATCAGACATTTATAGCCTGGGAATGATAATATGGGAACATACTTCAGGGAAAAAACCTTTTCATAATAGAGAACATAATCCTCATCTCATATTAGATATTTTGAAAGGAGTTAGACCTCAAATCACTGATGATACTCCTAAATTCTGTGCTGAATTGATCAAAAGATGCTGGGATCATAATCCAGAAAATAGACCAACAGCTGAAGAAATTCATAATTGTTTTGGAAAATATTATTACTCATCTAAAAAAGAAAAAAAAATAATTAAATTAGCAGAAGTTAAGCGACAAAAAATTATTAATTCAGAAAAATACTTGTTAGATACAAAAAATTATAAACACCACCCAGAATCATTCTATACAAGTCGTCCACTAGATGAATCAATTCAGAAAGCTGAACTGTTAAATTGTTCATCAACTAGATCACATCAGGATAGTAATCTTCCTAACTTATTAATCTCAAAATATATTGGGTGATGGATGGTAATGATTGTTTATTATTGTTATTATTATTATTATCATTTATTATTATTATTATATATAAAAGTTATTATTATTATTATTTATTATTATTATTATTATTATATATAAAATCATTATGTATTTTTCTCTTAGTTGAATAAAGCAAAAGATTATCTTTTATTATTTAATTTTCCATTACATGTTTGCAATTAAGTACCAAGAAAACAAATGGAAACATCCCAATTTCCTTTTACTTTATATTATTATTTATTTAGATTATATATTATGTTATATTTGTAAAATATCAACAAAAGATAACCTTGGTTGTATAAAAAAGCAAGCCATTTTGACCTTTTATAATTTCATTTTGTACTAGAAAGATGTTATTATTGTATTAAAAATCATGGGATTTCATTAACAGAAAGAAATAATCCAGAACCATCATCAAACAAACTAATTGGGCGCACTTGTTACTTATTATTATAAATACAACCTCTAAACGTTTTAAAAAAAATTGGGAGAGTGATCATGATCATGGTCATAATCATGATCAATGATCAATGATCAAAAGATTTATACAACGCAATCAATTTTGTGAAATGAAAATTTTTCCTTTTCTTTCGAAAATTTCCAAAGAGAGATAGTATCGTTGCCAATTCTTTCTAAATATTACCAAAATATTGCCAATCTTTTCTAAATTGTTACAAAGTATGTTGCACTGATTTGGTTGAATTGTATTCTTTCGTTAATTTTAAAGTACTTCGGTATAATAAAAATAAGTTTTACAATTGCACAAAAAATTATTTACATAATAATTCTACTCATACCATCTCTAATGAAATAATTTTCACAGATTTTTACTAGAAGCAAAGATATTTTAAATAGTAACTTTGCTTTATTAAAAAAAACAACTTTTTACAATACAATCTAAAGTTGCTTGCCAAAACCTCTTAGTGACTGTTGAAACTCTATTGAACAATTAATGTATGCCTTGTTGAAATTCTGACAATTTACAAAACCCCCAAATGCAAAACTCTGCCAAAACTCTAAGAAACAATTAATGTGTAACCTGTTGAAGTTCCATCTATTGATTTCTGGAGGAGTTTCACCCACAACCTTAATACAATCACAGATGAGACTCTAACATTAGATGTAAAACCAAGCATAGTTTATTGTTTAAACATGTTCCATCTCTAATACGTCAATACCTGCAGAGTTTACTAAAAAGGTATTTCTTATGATATTATTAAACTATTTATTAAACTATTTTTATATACAATTTAATTACAGATGATTCATATCCATCTATTAGTACTTGTTTTTATTAATAGTTATATATGCAATTAATTATCTGAGTACAATATAATATGGTGAATGAACATGGATATACTGACAAATATTATTACTTTATAATCAATTCATAAATATAACATTTATACAGATTTCTTTGAAAGATTTAATGTAATAGTATCGGATGTAATAATGGCACATTAAAGGCAGTAGTAGCAGTAGAACAAGAATGAGATGACAGTGGTAGTTATAGATGCTGGTCGCAATTCTTGGTGATGGTTGCAACCACCTTTGCAACCACTTTGGTTTCCTTTTTTGGATTGCAACATGGAACACTAAGTGGTAGTGGTAGTGGTAATGTAGGAATAAACTTTTGTGTATTGTAAAATAGTAAATTATAAATCACGGGAAACGAACATATAAATCGGAAATGATTTACATGTATCACGAAGTG